ATGGGCAAAACTTGGTTTTCGTGTTGTGGACGGGTGAAAAATGAACTAATTTTTAGCAAAAGTTCAATCTTTTTCTCATCCTCTTGCTTTTTCTTTCGTTTACTAAATCCACTTGCATAATTTCAATTCATCCGCAAAGTCTACAGTTTTTAACACAAGTTATTACATTACACAATTCTCGACATGTTTTGTATCATTGACTGTATCAAGAACGTACTGAGAGCAATAGACGCCGCGCCAGTCTCTCCAATTTTGCCCAAGAATGAGCAGTATTGATGCACAAAGAAGAGCACGAGCATAATACTACATTGAGCAATACTGTAATGGACTCCGCGGTAAAATCGGACAAATATTTCGTAAAGTAAATTTTAAATTTTAATGTTTTTACTTTAAAATTTTGAAAAAATTTAAAGCCCGCTTGGGCCACCTTGGAAGTTGGGGGCCCCAGGCAGCTGCCTGGTTTGGCTATTAGTAGGCACACCCCTGGGTAAATTGTCTTGCCATTCTGGTTTCAATCTCTTACCTTTGAAGATGATCACAGGTGGGATGTCCATAACATTTCCACAGGAAATAATGGCAATATTTTCAGCATATTCTAAGGCCAGTATATAGACTCTCTTGACACTTTTTTGTGCCAAAAAATACAACTTTTGTATATCATTATGAGTGACTTAGCAATAATGATATACAGATGATCTCAACACTTTTGTCTCATAGAAAAACCAACACTTGCCGAACGGTTAATACGCGCCACTAATTCGTTTTCCTAGGTGGTTCAGATTAAGGTGAAGTTTCTTTTTAAACTAGAGTGGAAGACCGTAGAAATAGGTAATAAAAAAGACTAGAAATAATTTATAATAATTACAAGTTTAATAATTTATGTAATTTAGATAATAATTTATTTTTGACTACTTAATTACTTTTTATTATAACATTTCTAAATTTAGAAACACTCTAAAGTTTTATAAATAATAAATTTCAATATAAGACATAAGACGATATAATAAATTTTTTTTAATAAATAATTTTGTGTTAAAATTAATTTTCTTAAGTGTAGTACCTTGGAACATTCTATATTATTTGGAAATGTTTATTAACTTAATTATGAAGAGTTTTTTTACATAACAAACACTATGATCTTTATATAATGTTGGAATATAACTATAGGTTTCTATAACTGAAAAATATGCTTCACTCCTTACACTCAACATGGTCTTTAACCACAGTTTCATTTTTTTTTCAATCAATTATTAAAAATAAAATTTAATTTTTGTATTAATGCTTTGCATTGAATGTTTTAACTGTACAGGTGTTTAGTACATCAGTTGCTAATTGAAATAAATTAAATAAAAGTATATCAATATCCAATCAATGTTAATTTTAAGTTTGTTTTCATTACTGTTTTAAATGTGTTAACTTCCTATTACTTGGTGTAGTTATGACAATTTTTAAATTATTTGAATTCTTTTGTTTAGAATTTTGTCGACGTATTATGACGAAACAAGCGCTTTAGTTGTATTAATTTTATTGGCATCATGTTTTTACAATGTTAAATAAAAATTTTCTCTTTTTTATATAATTAAAAATTTTTTTTACAACCCCTGATAGTGAACCTAAGAAATATTATTTAGTGGCGTTCTATATATTCACTATTTGTGGATTATGATATAAATGTGGTCTTTAGAAATATTTTGCTCAACAGCGTTAACTTGATTTTAGGTAAAATCTTTTAAAAAATTGCGTTAAAGCATAATAGGTCATAGTTCTAATCTGTTCTGGTAGATATTAGTTAAATATAGTTGTCAAATTACAACATTTCTAAATATTTTCACCAAAATTTTAAGAATTCTGAACAAGAAAGAGCTTATAATGTGCCAAAAATTGCCGATAAACAATCATAACTGATCATATTATTAAAATATGGTGTTTATTTCAACTAAACAACGTATTTATTTAAAATCTTATTCAAATCTGGACAAGCAATCGTGAGCTTTTAGAAAATTAAAAAAAAAAATTCCAGTCTGGGTTTTTTCGCCAAAAATTTTTTTTATTTTATGGTAAGGCAAAATGCAATAATTTTTTTCTTCTTGTCTTCATTCAAAGACCTAATCATTTAATGGAAATATGTCATGGTTAGCAAAATAGCATACAGGCTAAGCAATATTTTAAAATCGCTTTATTACACCGAGTAGTAGAATGTTTTTTCAAAATTATTTTTCTTATTTTATTTTTACATAAATACTTTTTAAATATTAAATAAATACCACAAATATTAAAAACTGCTTGTATATTTTAAAAAGATGCTAAGCTAAATACGCATTTTAAACAATGCTTATATATAGGGGAAAGCGGGGCAACATGGCGAACGTTTTGAAAGCCCTGAGTTATTTCAAAACTATCAGTCGTGAAGCAATAATACTTACTGTGTATGTTAATGTTATTCAAATGATTCATTGCCTGTATAAATTTTCCGTTTGCAAATATAATAATTTGAAATAAATATCAAAATAATAAGTTCATAAATTTGTCATCTGGTCATGTGACCGGGGCAAGATGACTTGTTATGCAATTTTTACCTCCAATTTTATAAAATTTTAAAAACTACCAATAATTCTAACTAAAGTAACAAAAAATAAACACAAATTGCAAAAAACTACTTTTAAAGAAGTTAAACTTGAAGGATACCGTCCATTATGATAAACCGAAAGTGAGGAATTTTTTTTTAAGCGTAAAAAGTAGACTTAAGCGTATAAAATTGCGTTAATAATATTTCAAAAAACCAATTGGTGTTTAAAAATACAAAATGCAAATACAGTTTCGTTTTCACCCAATTTTAAGGTTTTTTTTGTCGAGTTGTTATATGAAAACCCATCTTGTCCCATTCGCCATGTTGCCCCGCTTTCCCCTATACGCATTTGTAAGCAGGGCCGGGGCGTGACTAGGTGTCACGTGGTGGTGGTGGGTGCCATTACAACTTTTGCCGAAAAAAAAAAAGGTCCTCCTTTTTTTAAAATTTGCCGACTGCCCTCCGACTGAAATATATGAACCTTTAATCTCCGTCAAAGAAGCTTTGCAATGGCTAATAAACTGGGAACAACTTATTATTTACATAGGCGCAAATAAAGCTTATGAACATTTTATTTATGAGTTCAGTAATGCTTAAGAAAAAGCATTTCGAAAGCAAGAAAAACAATTCAAGCTCAAAAACTTACAAAGTCCATGGATTTCACAAGGCATCATCTAATCTACTAAGAAAAAAAAACAAAAACGAAAAGTATTTAAAAAAAAAAAAGCTTACAAAAATGAAAAAAGATAAAAAACTTGGGATGTTATAAAAGCAGAAATAGGAAAGAAAAAGATTGATGCAGGTAATATCCTGTCAAACATTTAAATACTGATAACAAAAACATTGTTAATAATGATCAAAAAAAGATTTCTGAAAAGCTTTAACCATTATTTTACAAACATCGGAAACACACTTGTTAATAAAATAACTCTAAGTAAAAATATATTTAAATCATATTTAAAGAAAGTGGACTTTGTAATGGACGAGTTTGACTTCTTTTGATGAGCTTCGAAACGCATTTAAAACAATACAATCAAAAAAGAGTCCGGATCTTGATGGCATAAGCTCTCAGGTGGTTAAAGAAGTTTATAATGTTATTGAATATCCCCTATAGTACATTTTTAATCTCTCATTAAAAAGTGGAGTTTTTCATGAACACTCTTTCATGAAAGAATTGAGAGTTCTTAATATTTATGAACAAAACATCTATAGCATCCTTCAGTTTATGTTTAAATTAAAAAATAATTCTGTCCTCAAAATGTTTTATAATTACCTCCAACTTATTGATCATTAATGCGAAATAAAATATTCTAATCAGAACTACTATATTAAAAAAATGTCTTTGAGACAATCCAAATTCTCAATATCTCAAGGTCAAGGTGGCTCTATTAAAGCTTCAATCCGAGTATATCTAATATTAAATTTAAATGCGAGATCTTAGAAAAGTGAGTAACTTACTAGGCTTAGTCTGAATTCTTGCAATCTGATCAAGTAGGTTAAGGGATAAATACAATTTAATAAACACAATATAGGCTTGAGAAACATCGAACACCAAAATTTAAACAGTTTTCTGCTTCTATTTGTTACGTAGTTAATTTTCGTAACATTTCTTAAATTTTATTCATGCTACACAAGCTCATCAAGTTTATTAAACTTATGTATATTTATAAACTCTGGTAAAGGTAGCATTTATAATATTAATACAAAGCTGCGATGACTTTTGTTGAACTGCGCTAGAATTAACGCGCATAAAACAAGCAAACAAAACAGCTGCTTTTACTTCGTTTTTGAACGAATCAGGCGATGACAGAAACCAGCATATCTACAAATCCAAGTATTCTTTAAAGATCACCCTTCACTAATGGTTTTATTAGCCATTATTCTGCTTCTGGTAATTTAACAATAAACATGATGTTTTCTCTGCCTGTGGTAACTTTCGAACCAAAGAGTTCCGCTATTAATCAAGTATGATCAATAAGTGGTTTCTTTCATACAAAAAAAAAGCGTCGGCTAGTCATGCATTTTTTTAAATTTTATTTCATTTTGACCCTATTTTATTATAGTATATAAATACTTCTTCTTTTAAAAACTAACCCCTATAGTAATTATTGCATTTCTTTTTTAAAAAAAAAGGTGTACGCTAGGCTCGTTTCAAACCCTAATTTGCAAATGAAAAAGTAAGAAAAACTTCAGTGACTACGCCATGGTCGAAAATTTCACAGACATTTTTTTATAACACTATTTTTTAAAAAGAATTTAATAATGTATTTATGTTTTAAAAATGAACTTATACTGTACCTATGAAATTTTTTTATATTACTTGGGGTACCACCTTAATATAATTTTCTCTTTTTTTTTCATGATTCTAAGCAGCCATATGACCGGAAATTTAAAAAAAGTGTAAATTGTACAACAGATTATGCTAAAAAACATGTAAAAAATATTTATGTATATGAAACTTTGATCCTTTAACAATAGATTTAGACTTAGAAATTAATTCTAAACAAAAAAAACAAAACAAAAAAAAAAGGATAAATAAAAAAATTAAAAAAAGGGGGAACAATAAAAAAAAACCCTAATGGCAAACACGTGAGCTATCTTTGCTAGTGGTCGTAATTAAGCTATTTCGGGGGCTATGTCAACAAAGAAAAAAGAAAAAAAAAAAAGCTTCCAATTAAGAAATAAAACAAAAAATTTCGAACTTCCTAATAACAAAAATTTGCGTTATATACAAGTTGAAGATAAATAAAACTAATTTAGAAAAAAGTTTCAGATATTTACATCAATCACTATAAATTAGTCACATTAAAATTCTATACAAATAACTTAATACAAAAATCTATACACATAAAAAAATCCTTGATAATATTCTAAAATATCATTAATATTAATAATTAATATTAATTTCTCTTTATTCAATATTATTTTTGTTAAAATTTGTAGATACTGTGCTAAATCCGGCAAGATATAAGCTTACTTAGTTTTTGATGAAACAGGCGAGCTCACTCTATTTGGAGACGGGTTCTTGCTATTATTTCTACTAGAAAAAATTTTTGAAGCAAGTAATCTAGCCGGCGTGATACTACCACTGCGCTTCCTTGACTTCCATTGCTCGTCTTTTATTTTTGTAGTAAGCTGCTGATCAATTAAAGATGCCATATCAAACTAAATAATAAAAGATTAAATTGTTAAATTTAAAACGTTAAATTTTTTTTTCAGACCATAAAACCGGCGCGCAGAGTTATGTGCCAGTATGTCTATGTGTTTCAACTTTTTTTTTTTTTTCAATCGTTTTCATTATTACATAATCATTTTCAATTATCTTTGGATCATTCAAATAAATTTAATTATTTGAACTAAGGCTATAGCTTTATCGATATTTGTTTAAAATTTGTTGAAGAATCTGCAAAAGTCGTTAGACAATTAGAAACAAGTGAAGACTTTAAAAATCAATATTAGATAATTAGAAGTAAAAGGTTATTGGTTTAACTATAAAATAATTTGTGGAATTGATCTAAATATAAATATAAAACAACTCTTGAAACAAAACTATATAAAAATCTTTTATAATATTCTTACCATTTTTTTCAAGGTACACTTTTTGAGAAATTGAGAGATCATAACCCCCTATTCTCCTCATTTACTTATAAAGTAAACAATAAAAGTGGATTTACTTACATGTGATTACCTGTTAATAGAAATAACATTTTTTAAAGTCAGGGCCAGAATAAGGGAGGAGAATAGATTGCAAATCGCCCAAGATTCTTACTTAGAGTAAAAATTTAAAAAATAGAAAAACAATTAAGTAATAATGACAGCCGAATTATACATTAAACTTAGAAAATATTTTTTGATAAAAGCAATAATAGAGTAAAATGGAGTTAAATAAAATGAAGTTCAAAACTTTTTTTTTAAGAGAAAAAAAAAAAAAAACTCTAGTTGTTTTTTCAACTTTTATTACAGGAAAAAGTTCTTGAGAACTTTTAATTGTATCTAAGTATATAAAATGTCAAACAAATTTATAGTTGTTTATGAAATTTTATTTAACTGTAAAAAAACTATTTCATTTTACATTTGAGGAGAACAAAATATGCAAGTCAATCAATAAATAATAGAAAACTTATTTTAAAATAAAAACGACCAACTTATTCATTGCTGACTATAAATTTAACTTTACCGGAGCTGACAAAAGCATTTTTTGACAAAGTGCTATATTCACATAAAACTATTGAAGTAGTTTGCAACAAACTCCTTTGACATGGCAATAAACACCAACATTTAGTGGCTGCAGAATGTGTGAAAAATAATAAGCTGGTAAGCAAATAAATAAAATAATGCTTTAAATGCAAACAAGTATAACCCAATAGGTAACATGTGTCAAATTTCTATCTACGAATAAAATATGAATACCTAGTTAATCTAAAGATTAAACTAACTGAAATTTTTATAATGGTGGGAACTTGTCAGAGAGCCACTGCATAAATTTCTCATCATTTATTTAGCCAAATGACAATGTTATATATACATCATCAAAGACCAATTAAGCACCAATCTTCGTACAAATATATTTGATTTAAAGTAATGAAATAAATAAATGACTGTCAGATCCAACTTCCAACTTTGCAATTATTTTTTTTATTATTATTAACCAATTTCTGATGCTCAACTTATGACACTACCTGTTAACGAAAAGGTTGTATCAATTTATTTTCGGGTGTATTAACAATTCACCAGGGAGAGATTGGTACAAGATTTTACTGATACTGTTGCTAATAGTTACTAGAGTGATGACAAATCACACTAGTAACTATTAGCAATTGATTGAAGTTGTTATATTATTTTTGTGTTTAACCCACTGCCAATTGTTTCTTACCCACTGCCTTTTTTTTACTTATGTCATGGAAATGTCTGTAAAGAGTTGCAACTGAATGATTTAGCAGCTTTATTAAGTGAAAATTTACTTAACAACTTTGCACTTAGGACACTACAAGTGTATGACTTTTTTTGTGTGCGCAAGTTTTTTGAGGCAATTTATATCAGAATAAATTTGATATAATCATTTAAAAACATATACAAAGAACATATACAGATTTAAAAAAAAAAATTATTTAAAATATTTACCAAGATAAATTTATCTAGATAAATTTACCCGTTCAACAAGTTAACAACTTGCATACTTCATTTAACTCCTTAGTTCAACATTACCATTTTTAAAAATTTTTTCTTAAATTTTTAAACTCTTAAACTCAAAATTACAAATTTTGAAAAAAGTTTCTTAAGTTTTTGCTTATTTTTCAAAAATATAAAAAATAATTTTTTTTTTATTAAAATTATCTATTTAGAAAATCTAATTCAGAAAAAGATTCTCTTCAACATCTCTGCTCCTGTTTAACTTTACTTAGAATCTATAATAATCTTTTTTTTTTTTAATGGGGTCTATACAAACATTAGAAAAGAAAAAACTTTAAGAGCTTGCTAATTTTACTAACACAAGTAAAGGACAGCTTTACCATTAAATTATGTTAAAACATGATATTAAGTCCATATTATTAAATTATGAGATTTAGCAAAAACCTTAAATATGTTTTATTTTACAAAATAATCTTTTATACAAGCAACATTAGTAAATATTATTAACATAAACCAAAGTATAGCATAAGTTCTTATATAGCTCTGAATTACTAGATGGCTTTATTTCCTTTATTTATGATTTCAATCAAAATGAAGTAACATTGAAGCCCAAATAAAATATTTTAACAATATTTTTTGCACATCAATAAGTTATGAAAACTACTCACCTTTTTCCCCATCCATTTTAATACACATTTGTCAATTTTATTATAATAAATGTCATTATAAAAAATATATAAAGCAAGCCTTTAACTAATTAATGTAACTCCTACCATCCTCAAAGGAATTACTAATATATTAAATGACTTTCTCACCTGCCATTCTTCCAATTGCTCAGATAAAGCAAACTTTTGTTCTACAACCATTAAAAGTTGAGAGTTTAACTTTCGTATGTCACAATATGATTCTTCTAATTTCCCTGATACAAAATTCACCCTAGAAAAAAAGAACTAATAAAAAATTTTGGTAGTGATTTTTTATTTTTGGTAACTAATAAATTTTCTTCATACCACTATTGGTAATTCTAAAATACTTGTAGAACATAAAACTTACTTAGAAAAAGCTTCATCTCTATCTTGTATAACAGCCTTTAATTTCTCATCAATACTGATATCTGCCAGAATAATTTCGCGTTCTTTTCTAAGTGATTCAATTTCTCGTTCATGTGAATTTACCTGGATGGAATATACATTGTTTATTTGTATGATAAAACAACTTTATTAACTCTTAACTGAGCATATAAAAAGATTTCTTATTTCCTATTTATGTTCATTAGGGCATTTCAAAGGATCATATCTGAAAAAAAAAAAAGAACGCTAGCTTATCATCTTCCCAGCAAAAAAAGAACGGCTTATCATCTTCTAAGACTATGATTTAGTAAAAACCTTTTTACATTTTTAAAAACCCCTTCATGGATTCCTTTAGGGAGTAAGGAATAAATAATTAAGGATACACTCTAACATTCATGGATATCTCATACAAGTAGTAATAATTCATAGCTTACATGTCAATCAAGTTAGGAAACACCCTAATGTTGATGGATATCTGGTACAAGAATTAATAATTTATAGCTAACAAATTAATCAAATATGGAAAAAACTTTTTTCAAAAAAATAATCCTAATATAATAAGCCCACTACATACAACAATGGCAGTACCTTAATCTGAAGTGATTGCAATACTTCTTCTTGTAATAAAGCACTAGCTTGAGCTATAGAAAGATCTTTCTTAGCAAGTTCACAGTTGTTTGTTGCTATGTTCAAACGATGATTCAAATCATTTACCTAAAATTTAATGTTAGGAAAAATCTTCATGAAAATAAATGTGGTATATAAGTTCTGATGGTATATATATATATATATATATATATATATATACATATATATATATATATATATATATATATATATATATATATATATATATATATATATATATATATATATATATATATATATATATATATATATATATATAAATATATAAATATATATAAATATATAAATATATATATAAACATATATATATATATATATATATATATATATATGTATGTATGTATATATATATATATGTATATGTATATATATATATATATATATATATATATATATATATATATATATATATATATATATATATATATATATATATATATATATATATAAGTTTTAAATAAGAAACTAGTCTATAAAAACCAGAGGCCACCTGCATCTGATAATTCATAAATTGCTTATAAAAGAAAACTGGTGTATTATGGCTGAGTTACTTTAAAGATTTTAAGTAAATCAACTGTGTCTATCTGGTATATATATATATCCTATTTTTGAAGGTAATGTTTTTAACCAAAACTAAGATATGGGGCTTCAGAACACAACAAAAATCATCTCCACGTGGCCAGTATAACAAAGTCTTAGGGAAATAAAGATGCATCAATTTCACAAGGCTTCTTCATTTTCTCCATCAACTTCTGATACCAACCTAGTTAAACATATCATTTTTGCAGATATAATATTTTCCTTAATATTATTTAATCGAGGAGTCAATGATTTACAGACTAAATTTTTCGCCCTTTAAAAAAAAGAAGTGGATGCCAAAAATGTTATGTTTATAAAAATTGAACATTTATTCAGCATTCTGAATTTGGAAGTCAATCAAAGAATCTGAATTCTATTGGATGTTGAAGACCAACACTTAAAACTCACATGGTGACTATCCATGTGATGTTGCAAAGAAATTCCATTCACATTGCATTTCAAAATCTTCAGCATGATGACATAAATTTAAAAAATACAATTTTTGTTTTGACCAGCACAACTATCAAAAAAATTAGTGGATTTTTGTAGTATTAGAAAACGTTTCTTGTACAAATTTGAAGGTTCTCATTAATATTTAATATTTTATTAACATTTAGAAGCACTCTGATCATGCTTCCCTCATCATGTAGTGTGCATTGCCGTAGGTTCCAGTAGTAACTCTGGATTTGTCTTGACAAATTTAAAGTTTTCTGCAAAATCAATCAAAAAATAATATTATTTGAGGGTATAAATGTCTTTAATTTATTTAAATATTTATCATGTGCTTTAGAAATATGAGTGGAATGCTATGATATCATGCTTTTCGCCAAGACTCGCACAATGAATTTGTTTACTGTAAATGTATAATTTAGAAACTCGGCTCATCTGTTATACTCCATTGCGTGTATTCAATTACTTCATATTCATCAATATTGTCAATCTCTTTTCATTTTGCAATAGATTTACATTTATATAATTGATAAGATTTTGAATTCCAGGGCAACGATTACATTTTCTTGACTCAGCTAATTCTTCTCCAGTTTAACTGCACAAAGCTTTAGGTTTTGGGGTATTGTACATATACAAACAGCATGGGTTCCTTTTGACCAGCATAAATACACCATTTTAGCTTTGAGAAAATTTGGAAAATACTACTTTGGATTGAGGGTCCATCCTAGCTTGGACTGAGGGTCCATCCTAGCTTGAATTCAATAAATAAATTTTTCAAATTGTAAAAAGTAATTCTTTTGATACATGTTTATTTTTGACTAACTGAACTGATCATTACAAAAAAAAGCCAACCACCTATCCTACTATTCTCTTTTCAAATTTAAGTTTCTTTAATTATGATTAACTTTGATGTATTAAATACAGATACTTTCCTTAAAAGTCATGATATTATACCAATGTCAAAAATGATTCTTTTTTGTTTGCTATTTTCAGCTTTACTTGCATTGAAAATATCAACTTACCTAAATCATCAGCTTTCTCTTGATGTTCAACAATAGGTTCCTCAGTAACATCATTTTTCAAGTCTTGCATTAAGAATAATTTCAAGACTTACATTGAGGATAATTTCTATCTTTCTCAGAATAACTGGATATATCTTTCAATCAGGTGGATTTATGGTACACCATTTCATGACATTGATTATTTGATAAAATAACAACACAGTTGGTGAAATAATAAAATGACCAACTCAGTTGAAAAAATAGAATTTTGTGCCAGTTGAATTGTACACAAAATTTTGTTTTTTTTATTTTTTCAATTTTTCGTTCAACTATAAATAAACATTTAACTATAAATAAACACAAAATATCTTTATCCAATGTACTATTTCAAATGGAGAAAACTTTTATCATTTGTATTTTTAAACATGGTATTATATATTTATTTTTTAAAACTTCAACTATATAGCTTGTTTTTTTTATTTTAATGTTAAAAAGAACAACAGCTGGTAAAATATCAGACTAATACAAAGTCTTACGATTTTATACTGAGTGTTTCTTCTGTTTTAGTAAAATATCACCTGACATAATATGTCATCAAACAGGAAGCAAAATTTATTCTATTATTTATTTGAATTAAGACTTCTTTAAATTTTAAGGCTTCTATAAATATTTTTAAATTTGTTTTCAAATTTAAAGTAAAATATTTCCTGAACTAATTTGATATCTAAAATTTTGAAAAGTGCTGAAATTTTACAAAGTTGTCTATGAAATATAGGTGACTATTTTTAAAAAGTATGAAGAAAATCTGAGATGGTTATTTACACGCTTGTCCCACTTTCTCATAGTACGTTCTAAGTAATGTCTCTAAGTAAAATTTGATGTAAACATCTTGTCACTAAAATTTTTGAAGCAAATTTGACATGTTTGACTAGTTAAAATGGTACTATTGTTTTTTTGTCTAGAAATTAGTTTTATCTAGGTTCTTGTCTAAACAAAGAAATTTTGAATTTTTGAAAATTTTTAAATTTAAAATAATTATGCTAATATTATTTTAGAAGCATTTTAATGAACTAAAAACTTCTTCAAAAATTTCTCTGACAATTTTAACAAACCTAGTTATTGTAAACTAAATTTTTAGAACTGAAAAACTTTAGATTCCATGTAAAACATAGACTTTGAACCTTGGAGTCCTTATCTGAAACACATAACTCATATTTTTGTTAAAAATGTTCAAGTATGAATTCATACAAAAAATAAAATAAAAAAATAAAATCTTTATACTCCTTTCTTGTAAATTTAATTTTATATAAAAATTATTTTTTGTACATTAGAAGATTATTTTTTACAACAATTTTTTATTCTCAAAAAATGCAGTTTGTATTGAGTCTTCTTAAAATTTAATTTCTTTTCTAAAATTTAATTAATTAAATTTAATAGTTTTACAAAACCAGGAAAATTATTTTTAAATTTTAAAAATCTGAAAAAAAAAAATTTGTGAAAACCTGGGACTTTATATTTAACAACTGAATAATTTAAACTTTCATCTAACAAAACAATTTTTTTTAATAAATGCTTTATATATTTTATGTACTTAAAATTTTCTAAAAACATTTATTTAATAAAAAAAAGAGTAAAATTGAAATATTATCTAAAGATAACATATATAACATTTAATGAAGTAATAATACCTGTTGCTCTAAAGCTTCAATATCTCTATCTGATACATGAGATTCATTTTGTGACGTATGATCATAATCTTCATTAATCTATCACACACATACACACACATATATATATATATATAAATATATATATATATATATATATATATATATATATATATATATATATATATATATATATATATATATATATATATGTATATATATATATATATATGTATAAATAAATATATATATAAACATATATATATCCATATAGTGTAGTCGAAAGAGCGTTTTAATGTAAAAAAAGTCTCTTACGACTACAATTTTAATTACCTCGTCTCTTAAGCTGTATTTGATTATCGTCGAAATGTCAAAGCAATTAAATTAATGCGGAAGTACATTAAATTTTATTGTTTTTTAAAAATTTTTTAAAAAACCGCAATTATAACGACTAGAAAGTTTTTTTTTATTAGTGATGTTTTTGTTTTTATTTTATTAAAAAACATTTTTAAAACATGCGTAAATGTTGCTACATCGACTATCTTATAGCCTGACTCGCAACGGAGTGCTGCTACATAGACTGACAAATAGCCTGACTCGCAAGGGAGTGCTGCTACAACAACTGACAAATAGCCTGACTCGCAAGGGAGTGCTGCTACATTGACTGAGGGTTTGGTTTGGGCAGGCAGTCTATCATTTAAAAAAAAAAAAAATTTAAGTTTTTAAACTTTTTCTGGTCTGGTTTATTAACGCGCTCTTTAAAACTACAGTTTATGGGAAACTCTTTTCAACTACCATGCAAGAGTATATATATATATATATATATATATATATATATATATATATATATATATATATATATATATATATATATATATATATATATATATATATATATATATATATATATATATATATATATATATATATATATATATATATATATATATGTATATGTATATGTATATGTATATGTATATGTATATGTATATGTATATGTATATGTATATGTATATGTATATGTATATGTATATGTATATGTATATGTATATGTATATGTATATGTATATTATATATATATATATATATATATATATATATATATATATATATATATATATATATATATATATATATATACATATACATATATATTTGGGTGTCCCAGCTGTCCCAACTTTTTGCAAAATTTCTGTTTTGCAACTGGATTTCATCATGTAAACAGCAGAAATGTATGTGTTTTTATGATTTTCAGAAAATTGAGCCAGTCAATCAAATTGAATATTACGTTAACCTATTGAATTTACATCATTTGAGAAATACAACTTTAAATATTAAAAACTTAATATTTTCTTCCAATTATGTAATATCATGTTATAGAAATTTTATAATATTCATTAATTACTATAAAAATTGTAGCCTAATTTATGAATTTAATAATCAATCATCATCCAGCGCTAGAAACTTTGACTTCTCTTGAGAACATTTGAGAAAGTTTGCAGTGATTCGGAACTTTTTCTAACGAACTTTCAACTATTGGAGTACATCTAAAACCTTTCTTTGTTCTTTGTCACACCCAAGAAATCATGACAGCTTTATACCTTTTTCAGAAGCTTCGATGACTACTTGAAGACTTTGAATAACTGTCTTCATTTCATGGATATCTAATGAATGGACATCCAATTTTGTCCCTTCATTAGCTGGTGCTTAAAGAAACTTATAAGGAGCATTCACAATATGGAAAAACCTCATTGATCCAGGGTCAATCAAATCACTTAGTGACTTCATCTCCTATGAAATTGGCATAAAGACAGGCTTTCTAAAGAATGCTCCTAAATGATCTGTAGTACTTCCAGCACTTTTTAGATTGGAGAAGCTGCAGCCTCATAATCTCTTTTTCTTCACCAGATACCATTTGTGAAAAAAGAACCAATGGAAAAAGCTCTTCATTCATACAGTAACTATATCTGCTAAGAGCTTTTTTTCCTTCAGCAATTATAGAATCATGGTATGCAAACTGTTTCAGTTTCTTGACTAAAATCAAATTGTTGACTGGGGCATCAGCAAACACACAGAAATTTTCTTATTTCTTGAATTGATTTTTGGTTGCAACTTCCGAAATAGGAAACTGCTCAATTATTTTTCTGGACAATAAGACCATTTTCATTGTGTACAAAAGTTTTGCCATCCATCTTGTTTATTAAAATTCTTAGGGTGCTTTATGCTAAACTTCTAAGATTTGGATCCCTTTGTAACTAACAACAGGCTGAGTTCAATTAGTTCTTGGTAATCCCCTCAAGTAAAACCTAATGCTAGGAAATCACAGAAGCAATTTATTAAGCTTTCTTGTTCCTTCTCAATTGCTCTAGGAAATTCAGAATAGTTTCTTTAATAAAACTATACCTAATAGCCTTACCATTAGTCCATTACTTAAAACCTCCCCATTATTTGTAATCCTTGAGTTTGTGCAAAAATAATTTGTTGATTTGAAATTTAATAAACTATTAATATACATAGATCATCCAGACCATATTTGAAAAATCCAGAAAATTGATTAAGTAAAATATCTGGAAAAAATCTGGAATATATTTTCTTAATTTTTGCTTTTAGCTGAGTTGTTTCTGTTTTTTTTTCAAAACTTGTGATGAGTGAAAAAGTTTAAAAAAACAAATATATTGCAAATGTATCCCTAAACTTGTATGTATGGAAAACGTTTTATATATCCGGGAAAACTAAAAGTTGAGAAAAATATCTAGAATTCTGGAAATATCCGGAAAAAGATAATCCCTAAATATATCACAAAATGTAATAAGCGATTGCTTTGTTGAATACAGGTAAGGCCTTGAATACAGGTAAGGCTTAAGCCTTACCTGTATTCAAGGCCTTAAAATTGGTGAACACATATTTGTGCCTACCTGTTTTAGTATCTGGAATCAATGAAACTAATCTTCTTGGTGTACCACCCTTTCCAAGTTTAGCCGCAAAAGCTAGTTTGAAACATGGTATGAAACATGGTAAGCTAGTATGAAACATTTTGTTGCAACATCCTTGAATACAGGTAAGGCTTAAGCCTTACCTGTATTCAAGGATGTTGTGTCAAAGACCATGTCTATGATGTTTTGGTCGCGTTTCTAATCTATGAGTAGATTTATTGTTGCGACAGACATCTCTGTTGCAACAAAATGTTTCATACTAGCTTACCATGTTTCATACCATGTTTCAAACTAGCTTTTGCGGCTAAACTTGGAAGGGGTGGTACACCAAGAAGTTTAGTTTCATTGATTCCAGATACTAAAACAGGTAGGTACAAATATGTGTTCACCAGTTTTAATTTGCCTTTTCTCTCTTTTTAATTTCAGAGCAGGCCAAGCTGGATCCAGCAGTCTCCCTAACCAATTCATCACAAGAACTGCTGGTTAACTCAAACTCAGTTTCTTTGAACATTACTGAATGGTCTCTTTTGGGAAAAGCTTCATCAAAGGTTCTTTTTTGTGCTTTCTCAAGAACATTTGCATGGACTTTGTCAATTCCTGAATAAGATACTTACCTGTTAGTTATTTCACTTTGCATGAAAGCAATGTTTGCACAATGGATTCTTTTTCCTTTGTTGTTTTATTTCATTTATCAGGTTTCATATTTTGGAGAACAGATTTCTTATAAAATTTCATGGTAGCATCTAATGTTGACTGGGTTCCTGAATTATCCAAATGTCATCAATTTACATTGTACTTCATTAACTTTATAAATTCATCATGTGATTCCTTGATTATTTTGCCAATGTTGTTTCTTCCACTTATTGGAAGGATATTTGCCTTCGTGTGATGCTTCAGGACATTATCAGTTGTAAGAGATAATGCATCATTAAAGACTAAATCATTAAGGTTTGCAAGCAGGCAAAGAATTACTTGCTTCTTTGTTAGCATGGATTCCCTTGTGGTTGACACCAGGTGGTCCCTAATATTATTTATATATATCGATCATTATGTCTAGTTTCCATTAGTGTACATTTTTATTATATATTAATCCTTAATAATCTGAAAAAAAATCAAAGTTAGTTAAATATCAATACTAAACAAAGATAAAGTAAACATTAGAATTTATCACGAACAGTCTATTTTTCTGTTCACAGTATCAACTTTCATGTTGCTTGTGCTAACTCATATGTAATCAGATTGCAGAAAAAGATTAATTTTTAGGCCAAAACTCACTAACAAAAACTTGAACAGTTGTACACAACCAAATTTTTATTTTATGGGAGCAGCTGAGACACCCCAAAAAATCAACAGCTGTATGTGTAAAATAACAAATTGAACAAATTATCAAATGCATTAAAATATGGTATAAAATGTTTGCCAGATAGCTAAATGTAACAAAGATTTTATGATAAAAATAATAAAAATTACTTGTGAGCCTTCCAACATAACACTATTTTGTATTAAAATATCTATCATATCAATTATTTTTATTATAGTATCACTATTGACAACATCAATATTTTCATAAGGATGTTTTTTTAATGACCCAAATAAGAGTTTGTTTTTTAGTTTTGTCAGTTTCTGATAAATCTTCTTGTATTCAGATTGCACCTAAACAAAAACATAAGGAATAAATAAAAAGGAAAAAATAAACAAAACATCTGTTATATTATATTATATACAATCTTAATAAATTTATTTATTGTAATTAATTTATTTATCAATATTATATATATATATATATATATATATATATATTATATATATATATATATATATATATATATATATATATATATATATATACCCTTATAGTGTAGTCAAAAGAGCGTTTTAATGTAAAAAAAGTCTCTTACGACTACAATTTTAATTACCTCGTCTCTTAAGCTGTTTTTGATTGTCATCGAAATGTCAAAGCAATTAATTTATGCGGAAGTACATTAAATTTAATTGTTTTTTAAAAATTTTTTAAAAAACCGCAATTATAACGACTAGAAAGTTTTTTTTAATTAGTGGTGTTTTTGTTATTGATTTAATAAAAAACATTTTTAAAACATGCGTAAATGTTGCTACATCGACTATCTTATAGCCTGACTCGCAACAGAGTGCTGCTACATCGACTGACAAATAGCCTGACTCGCAACAGAGTGCTGCTACATCGACTGACAAATAGCCTGACTCGCAACAGAGTGCTGCTACATCGACTGACAAATAGCCTGACTCGCAAGAGAATGCTGCTACATTGACTGACAAATAGCCTGACTCGCAAGAGAGTGCTGCTACAACGACTGATAAATAGCCTGACTCGCAAGAGAGTGCTGCTACATCGACTGAGGGTTTGGTTTGGCCAGGCAGTCTATCAATTAAAAAAAAAATTTATTTGTTAAAACTTTTTCTGGTCTGGTTTATTAACGCGCTCTTTAAAACTACAGTTTATGGGAAACTTTTTTTGATGCCACGCAAGAGACATGCAAGAGTATATATATATATATATATATATATATATATATATATATATATATATATATATATATATATATATATATATATATATATATATATATATATATATATACTAATTTTAAAAAATACTAAAAATATAAAATTTCAACATTACATTTTCTATCTCATTTTCTCTGTTCTTTTTTGGGCTGCTTGTTTTATGGAAATCTGTATCAAATGACATTTCTTCAAATAAAGACACTCCTTGACTTGGTGCAGGTAACTAAAACATAAAAACAAACTATTTTTTATATATTTTTTAGAAATTTTTAAAATGATATATAACGCTTCAACAAGAATTTTTTTAAAATAATTTCTCAAGGCACTTTAAAAATATATTTAAAAATGATAAATGTCAATTACTTAAAATCATTGACATTTATCATTTTAAATATCAAACATCAAGTTTTTTTTCTTTCACAAAAGCGCAAACATGTTTTTAGGCTTATATTGCATAACAATATGTTTAATTTTTTTAATAATTTTTATAAATCTTGTTGCATAATTACATTAAAAATAATTATAAACAAAGTTTAACTACTTTGTGCATATACAAAATTTTTTAAAGCTTTTAAAATCATTTGCCATGTAATTTACATAATATAATCATGTCAAACCCAAAATTTATTATTTTAATCCAGTAGATAGTGATGAGTCTCAAAGATATTTTAAAGATGGCTGTGATAGGAAACAAGCATCAAAAGAAAATCAAAAGAAATGATTGAAAGCAGATATGTTTCAATTTAGAGTGTTTCAATTACTTCCTCTAAAACTAATATGCTATCAAGATCATAAAAATATTTTTACGGTCGCCAAATACTTTGAGATTCACCAAATACTTTGAGGTATTATGTCCTGTGTTTTTGATAAAGGAATCAAAAATACTAAAAAATGTACTAATGCCTCCCACTCTTTAAAAATCATAATGCAATTAAGACCTTTTACAAAGTTTTTTTTACCATTTATAATTTTTGAAATCATTTTCTGTTTTGTTGTCTTGCTTTCATAAAAGGCACTGTATTAGGGTATCAATCAGTTTTTGAACTACATCATCATAGACTCCTAATTTCTTGAGAGACAGGCCTCAATAGTGTAAATGGAATAAATTTCCCATGACAAATGGGATGATACACCTTCATAAGTCACCAAATCTTGTTGGATCACTCATTTATGCCAGAAGTTCAGAATTGAATGAAGATGTAGCTTAAACAAGAATGAATGACCACTTTAGTGTCTGTTGAAAACCTGTCACTTGCCATCTTGGCAAACTTTAAAACTGAAACCAGTTTCTCTATCATCATAAACTTATTGGTTAGAATCACATCCTCTAGTAAAACATTGTTCTTTTCTCTGATCTGAATAAAAGCTCTTTACATCCTCAAAATTGACTCCAACATCATACAATTAGAATTCTATTTAGTTCAATGATCCTGACATATTCATATTAAATTTCTCTACACTTTTACGCTCAAACAGTTGGCTAAAGAAGATCTGAGTACCTGTACAACGAGTTTTTTGACTTTTAGAACTTTTTCTGTGGCATGGTGCAGGTTGGTGTTTATTACCATTTGAATTTTTATCTGATTCAGCCTTTCAAAACTTTGTGAAGTACTACTTAAGGGTGATAATTCAAAATCTAACTGCATTTATTTTTATATTATATAAAAAAGAATCTCACTCTTCTACAATCAAGTAACAAGTGATGGAGGTCTTAAGTAAATTTAAATTTTTCAAAAAAAAAAAAATGTTTCCAAAGGTATATTGTGCTGGGTTTAAAATTAAGTAAAATTATATAAAAGTTTTTTAAAATAATCTGCATATATTAAATAAATTATTATTTTAGAGTTTAAAAAATGAATAAAAACAATTTTATTTAAGATTATATTGCATAAAAAATGGCTTTTTTATGCAATATAATTTAAAATAAAATTGTATAATTGAATTTCCAAAAAAAAATGAAAAAAACTTTTACAAGATTATTTATTATTTTTTTCTTAATTTTTTATTTATCATATTAAAAAAAAAAGTTGCATCTTTAGCTTTAGCCACACTTTTTGCAAACTGCCAGCAAGTAACTAAAATCAATGGCAGCCTTTTTGTCAAAGTATTTCAGAAAGGATTTTGGCATGATGACTGCTATTGAAAATTTTAGTTTTTGAGCATCAATATTTTTATAACTATTTTTTTATTTAACATAATTATCGTTAGACATAATTCGATATTCATTGAAATAGTAACAAAACAACCAAAAATATTATAGCAAATTCTATTTATAGTAAGCCAACTGTTAGTTTAGAAAAAACTAAAATCAATCTTCAGTGTTATGTTAGTTTTGAAAAATTTAAAACTAGAATATATTTGAAAACGTCACAAATTAATTTCAATTTAGTATATTGGTTTGATTATTTGGGGGATTAAGGCATTTCTTGTAAATTATATTTTTATATTTTGATATTTGAAAATTTTTGAAGTGTCTTTGCTGTAATATAACAATAAGGAAGTTGAATGATGAGACAACTAACAATTAAAAACAAAATAATCTTTTATTTTATCAATTGTTATCATAAAATATAGAAATTTTTTCAAAAATTAGGTATTTTTTTAATTACCACGAGGTTTCCAAAAAAAAAATCATTTCAGACACTTAGTGAAATCACTCTGATTCTCACTAATTCATACACAACTGTTTAAAAAATGTATAATGAATTTATAAATTTCACAAGGACATACATTTGATTTCATCACAAGGACATTTGATTTACATTCATTTGATTTTTGATTTTTTTGTTTTGTTTACTTGGTACACATACCCCAAAAATTGTTTTTAGAAATATAGCATATATAGTTTAATGATGTTACACATAAACATAATGTTAGTTAAATGTTTTGATGTGCTTGGAAATTACTGCTTTCAAAAAAAAATTGATTAAAAAATTTGAATAAAATTTTGTGTAAAAATAGTGCTCCAAAAAACTTGAAATGTTAACAATAGCATACAGTGAGTTAAAAAAGTGGCATATACTATGAGTAAAAAAAAATGTTTATAATTGATTTAAGCTCTTCTAAGATGACTGAGAAAATACCATCCATATTACTCTGGACATCAAATATGTAAAACAACAAATGAAACATTGAAGTAGTGAAGAATATATTTTTGAAAAATCATCAACTCACTCTTAGAAAAATTGCATCCAAAGGACATCCAGAATGTCAACAACAAATGAAACCTTGAAGTAGTAAAGAAAATATTTTTGAAAAATCATTAAATCACTATTAGAAAAGTTGCTGAGAACATTGGCATATTAGTTGGCTTGTACCATGCAAATTTTTTGGGTGTTATGGGCATGAGACATATGTCAGCCAAGTTGATGAGGATGATAGCATATTGGTTGGTATATAAATGGTACATAAAATACAAGATGAAACTTAAATTTTACAACTAAATTTTTATGTTAAAATCATAGACTAAAATATTTATTAAATCAAATTTATCTATAATAAATATTAAATTTTTTGTAATAGAATGGTTAAGTACTTTTTATTTTATTGTATATAAGTATACCTGGTGAAAAGAGTACTTCTCATTGTATATAAGTATACCTGGTGAAAAGAGTACTTTTTATTGTATATAAGTACCAACCTGGTGAAAAGAGTTACATAGTTGTAAACGATCTTTTAATTTCTCATTTTTTTTTTGAACTTTTGACATATTGTCTTGATATACTTCAACCTAAAAGTTAAATTTTGTTACAACAGCAAATATAAGTATTAACTTACTAGTTAACAGAAAATATTTTTTTAAAATAATTTTAACCAACTATATATATCATTATCAATATATCAATAAAAGTTTATTTGAACAATGTATAAATAAAAATTGAGAAGGTGGAAAATCATATATATATAATTAAATCTGGTCAACAAAGTTTACTATAGATTTTTATATGCTTCATACATTTAAACAAAAAAAATAAAATAGTTATTACAAACTAAAAACTTTTAAGTTATATAGTTATAAAAAGTATATGTTTTTTATGTTCCTCCAAAAAAAATAAAAATATTTGGTTTTTATGTTACTCAAAAATTTACGTAGAATCAAATACATTTGAGTTCAGAATCAAAGGATATGTAACACTTAAGTGTTTGATAGGTGGAAGGATCATTTGTAACACTTAAGTGTTAAACAGGTGGAAGGATCATTTGTAACACTTAAGTGTTTGATAGGTAGAAAGATTGTTTGTAAAACTTAATGCTTGATATATTTGTAACACGTGTTTGATAGGTGGAAGGATTGTTTGTAACACTTACATGTTTGATAAGTGGAGTGTGATCAAAATGTACACATGATTGAGTGATCAAAAAAACTCAGGGTACTTGATGTTTAATAAATATCATATAACTAAATATATGATATTTATTGTTACTATTATTTACCTTAAGGAGGTTGTTATTTAACTTAAAAGGTAAATCAAAAGCTTGGCTAGTCAAGTAGTGATCATTTATATCACACTTCAGGAGATAATATAGTACACTCATATACTTATTGTATCCTCTGCTCACAACAAACACTGCATGTGATCCAACCTCATAGCTGGATCAAATACAATATTGGATATGTATTATACTAGAGCATATATTACAAAACATAAAGTTGATCATTATGTTTCTGATATGATTTTCATCAAGAATCACAATTGGTTTTTATTTTATGTTTATTGTTGTTGTTGCTGTTGTGGTTATTGTTTGTAAATAGTTATTTTTTTAGTTTATTCATTAAAAAAGATTTGCAAAAACTGTTGTTTTATAAATTATAAAAATTTATAAATTCATTTATAAATTTTTTTTATTTTTTAGTTTGCTCAAGTAGAAACAAAAAAAATAAAAATGAAAAACAAAACCAACACAAAAAAACAAATAAAATTTTGAGATTTTAATTTAACTGTTTTTAAATTTAATTTAATTTTTAATTTTAAAGCAACAAAATTTTATTGAAATCTTGGTCAACAAGTTTAATAATAATTGCTTTAAAAACAAAGTTTTATTACCATTATTAATGGTGAATAAAAAACTAATGGTGAAAAAAAATTATTTTAAATTTAAAAACTGCTATTAATAAAAAGTTAAAACTCCTCAAAATATAAAATTATAAAATAAGTCTAAAACACCTAACTTATATTAAGAAAATACCTGGAGTTTTAAAAAATGTATTTCCCTCTCAAGCCCTGCTAACTTTATCAATAAAGTCTCATGTTTAACAGTCAAAGCATCTTTTTCGCGAATGCTTTCTAATAAACTAGATTCGAGGTAATTCTTTTCTTCAAGTAAACTTTGGACCTTAAAAAAAATTAAAACAATTTATATATATACATACATATATATATATATATATATATATATATATATATATATATATATATATATATATATATATATATATATATATATATATATATATATATATATATATATATATATTTATACATTATATATATATAAATATATATATATATATATATATATATATATATATATATATATATATATATATATATATATATATATATATACACACACACACACACACACACATATATATATATACATTTATACATTATATATATATATATATATATATATATATATATATATATATATATATATATATATATTGTTTATTTTATTTAGTTTATAAGTTTAAAAAAATCATTATCTTCATTGCCATTTTCTTTTTTTAATAAAAGTGTAAAAACAAATAGTAATAGTAAACATAGCAAAGCTATTGCTATGAGTAAATTAAAATTAATTTCAGTTGATATTGAATGTTTTGAAATAAATAAGTTATTTACTAATTGCAAAGATGGATAAATAGCAAAATCAAATTTGAATACTAATGACACTAAAATAAACAAAGAAATAAGCATAAGTGGCAAAAAAGGTGGAAAAATAATGGCAAAAAAAAAAAGGAGTGAATTGTTTACTTTTGAAACAGTTTCTAAATTTAAATTAGATAGCATTGTAGTAAGTACCATCTAGAGTTAGCAGTAAATGTTGTTGTGCAACATTTTTTTTTACCAACTGTTGCATTAAAAAGTTTTTGATGAAAGTTATATTTCATTTACATTGCATCTCCTAAAAATAAAACAGAACTGAAGAACTGAAAACTGTTGCAATGGCTGAAAAATAAATTCCATTGGACAAATTCTAAGAAATAGTGTGGCATCAACTTCATACTAAACATAAGACTTATGCTGTTTTGGTAGAACTAGAGCATTATTTAAAAAAGTTACAAAACAAACTTACTTAAGACACATTGACTAAACACCTTATATTGCCATGTATTTCAAGTCATGAGAAATAATTCTGGTGAAATTTTATTTGCAAACACTGCTTGCAGCCGAAAACATTTTAAGGCATTAAATTGCAGTTTCCAAAATTAATAAAAAATTTTTTTTTAGTAAACTAAGTAAAAATCTTGATTCTAGAATGTTAACAGCATACGTAAATTTAAGTTTTATTTAACTTTAACTTTAAGTTTAACTTGTAGAAATCAGACAACAATAAATTTGCATTTTCCTTTTAAACTTTGGTTTCCCTTTATGTTTTGATTTTCTCTGGAATTTATTTTTCTCATTTGGAGTTTTTGGGATTTTCCTCAAGTTAAATAACTATTACTTGCAAAAAAAAAAAAAAAAAATTAATAAATTTTAAAATAATAATAAACTGATAAAATTATTTTTTAAATTAATTTTTTAAAATTAATTTTTAAAATGTTTTCTAACGAGTAAAAAATATAATAAGAATTTATAATTGAAAATATATTTAAATATAATATGAAAATTGTATTTAAATCATACAAATATTTGTACTGTAAAAAAAGGGCAACCAGTGTATGGTGAGTGTATGGTGACCAGTGTATGGTGAGTGCCTCTAAGAAAAAACTCTGGAGTTAAAATCTATTTTAATTGTTAAACTTAATCTTTGTCAAGATTGACAATTAAATTTTAAACAAGTTTTTCTAGCTTTCAATAATACAATTAAAATTATGATGATGAAGTTAGCATCGAAAGAACCTGGGAACTTTTTTTAATAAAATGTTAAATGAATAACATTTTTTATGTAAGCTATTTGAACTTACAAGCGTTCAACTTTTGCCACAGTCATTGGAATTGTATAAAATCTTCTTTATATTCTTGTAAAACTCTCTAATGAATAAAAAAACTTTATCAAGGATAAATTGAGAGTGTTTAATTTAGTTTTAATAGGAAAAGGAAGTTTTAATAGGAAAATAATGTCATTTCCAAAATATAAATTTATCACCAAAATAAATTTATACTTTTCATCTTATTTAGTAATTCTTCACTGGCACCAACAGAGTACAAATGCTTTAACTTGTGTTGGTAAAATTTCTTCACTTAATTTTAAATATTTCCTAATGAAACTAAATCTATACTAAATTAGTTTTCCTTTATCATAACAAGCAGACAAATTTAATAAAACTGAATCTGTCAAAAGGAAAAAAAATTTTTGTCTTAAAAATATCTTCATGCTCCAATTCAAACATTTGCTCATTGTATTTTCGATTATTTGTTTAGCAGGATTCATCATGAAATTCTTTGTACATTTTCATGGATCTTTTGAAGGAAAACATAATTTTTGTTTCTGCAACCAATTTTTTTTTTATTCAATATGTCTTTTCAATACAAATGCAACAATTTTAATTCACCAAACTTTTAATATTTTCAATATTTCAATATTTATTGCAAAACTTTGTAAAACACAAATTGAGATGATTTTTTGCAATTCTCCTGATAGGTTATATTATTGAAGTCTTTTTTTGGATTCGTGTATTACGGCTGTTTAGTCTTGAAGAAGTAGATCATAATTATTTCAAGCTTAAAAAATCTTAATATCCTACTTAGAAATTCTCTGAATCTTAGTCCTCTTTTACCGTGGAATAAAAACAGTAGTAACTACATATACACCTAATTCTAATTTTTTCTCTGAAGATTATTTTTAGAAAATTAAGGAACATTTTACATATTTTAGACAGAGTATGTATGTTGTGTTTTCTTGTTTTGTGTAGTTTTGAATAGGAAAATTACTAAAATGAAAATGAATCAAAGGGAGGAATTAAAAACTAAAAAAATTTTTTATAACATTTTTGATAAACTTATGTTGAATAAAAGTTATAAAAATAAACACATAAAAGGAGATTAGAAGGTTATTTTAAGAAAGATTTTAAAATCAACTTTAATTAAACTCAAAGAGCTATTTTTTGAATTTTATTAAGAAATTATGGAGCTTTATTAAAATGCCTAAGGGATCATCCATAAATTACGTCACGCTATAAGGGGGAGGGGGAGTTGGTAGTTTTGTGACGACTCATACAAAACTTGCTTCTTAAGTGTTACGATTTTGTGATGAGGGGGAGGGGGAGGTCAAAATCTGTCGAAAATGCGTGACGTAATTTATGGACGATCCCTAAGTATTGAAGTTATTAAAAAATTTAAAAATATTTTTTTAAAGATAAGTTTCTTTTTCCTAACTAATTTTATTTTAGTAATTTTTTGTAAACAAAATGGTGGATCTTCTGATAAAGAAAATTTTTGGATCAATTTCTTATTATTATTATTTTTTTTTTGCAAGTTTGGAATCCCTAAAAAACAGGAGAAAAAACACAGCATACGATCATATTTACTGTCTAAAATGTGAAAAAGGTGTCTACAAAATCTCACACTCTGAGATCATTTTAAAGTTTATTTTTACCAAATACAAATTGCTAAATTCAACATAATTGAGTTATCAAAAATTAAACAAAAAAATTTTTTTTGTTAAAAAAACCTCCCTTCTAAAAATTTCAAGGCAGATTCTTTCTTCTAAACTCTAAATAAATAAAAAAAGACCACATAAAGTGAGTATTTGTGAAGGTTATTTTACTAAAATATTTCTATTCTAAGAATAAAAATCTTAGTAAAATAACCTTCACAAATACTTTATGTGGTCTTTTTTAATGACTTTATTGACCAAATATGAAATTTTCTTAAAACTCAAAATAATAATAAAAAGAAGCAAAAGAATAATAAAAATAAAAAGAAGGCTACTGGATCAATTTAAGGCTGGATCAATTTAAGCACACACCTGATTCAAATACAACTAGAGTGTTTTATTGACATTGCAAACAAACAATTAAATCCTGTTAATAATGCATGTGAAAGTGTTATTTAATTTTAAAAAAATCAGTTGTAACGTAAATAAAATTAAAAAAATAATATAAATCTTTTAAATTCAAGCTTAACCCTTTCGTTACCGATACCCCGCATAGCGGGTAATAAAGTATGTTGTTAAAATACCAGTACCCCGCATAGCGGTGGTTGAAGAGTTTTGCTTTCTGTCAACCCCGGGTTTTTTGAACAACTTTAAAACTTAGCTTAATAGAAACTAGAATAATATCCAATCATACAGCAAAAACCGCATGAAAAAAGCTTTGTTAGATTAGTTGTTATTCAATTTTGAAAAATGGCTAGTTCATCGTGTTTACGTCAAAAAATCTCAAATATTTACGTCAAAAATTCTCAAATATTGACGAAATTTTAAACTTTGTACTTAAAGAAAGTGACAAAGATAGCAATCAAAGTATTGATCTTGGTGATAGTGACTTTAGTAATGATGAGGATGATAATTTAATAGAATTTAATAGAAGTTGAAAACAGTATGACTTCTAATAATATTCAAAGAAAAGTTCAAGTTACAAATAAAAACAATGTCGATAAATTGGAAGCTGCTGTTCCTTTTTCTAATTCTATTTTACCATCGATTAACTATACTGAAAGTGAAAGCTTTTGTGTTTCAAGCACAAGTGACATCAAAATTGAGACTTTTGACATAAAAAGAGCACACGTACAAGAGGTGGAGGTATCAGACGTGTACGTGTTCGAGGGGGTACTGGTATTCAATGTAATAATAAAATAATTTCTGTAAAAAGTGATGCTTATCCTATACATGCTAACGATAGAGAACCTATTGCTGATGATGCTGCATTTAATGTCAATATACTTGATAATGTTCTCCAAGGTAGTATGCATAAACATTGTAGAGTGCATCATTGTGGTAGAGTGCCTAATCGTGGTAGAGTGCCTAGTTGTAATAAAGTACGTAATAGTAGTCAGAAACTTCCTCTGTCAACTTGGGAAAAAGTTAATAAAGATGTTCCTAGTAATCTAATGGATTTCCCTGAACTTTTTCAAGAGGGTTTAAATGTTAGAATGGGGAAAAACCCAACTTGTCTTGATTTTTTTGAACTCTACTTTCCAGATGATCTTATAACTTAGTTAGTTGCAGAAACCAATCGGTATGCAAGGCAGTTTTTTGCTGCTAATCCAGATAACTCTTCTTTGTGGGAGGAAACTAATGTTGCAGAAATTAAAACCTTTATTGTTGTTATTCTTTTAATGGGAGTAATTTATAAACCCAAACTTAGTATGTATTGGTCAAAAGATGCATTGTATAATCCAATTTTTTCAGAAGTTATTAGTCGAAATCGTTTTAATATATTATTAAAGTTTTTTCATTTTAATAATAATGAAGATGAAAATTATGATGCAACTGATGAAAACAGAGATCGCCTTCACAAAGTACGACCAGTCATAAACATTCTGCATAATCGATTTAAAACTGTATATAAACCAGGAAAAAATCTTAGTGCTGATGAATCACTTGTCCTTTATAAGGGGTCGTTTACATTTCCGTCAATATATTAAAACCAAACGTTTTGGGATAAAGTTATATGAACTAGCAACTTCAGAAGGAATAACACTAGACTTCCTTGTATACTGTGGTAAAGGAATGTTTGCTGATGATGATATAAATGATCAGATGCCTTCATCAGCAAGAATACCATCTGTGCTGATAGAACCTTTTATGGGTCAAGGTCACACTCTTTATACAGACAATTATTACACTAGTGCAACATTTGCAAAGTATTTTCTTGATAACAAGACACATCTATGTGGCACAATTAGGTCAAATCGATATAATTATTCAAAAGATATTCTTAATGAGGTTTTAGAAAAAGGGGATGCAGTTTTTTATAAAAAAAATGATGCAAACAGTCAAATGCTGGCTTGCAAATTCCTTTCATCGAAAGATAAAGCTTCAGGTAAACAAAAAGTTGTCTACATGCTATCAACATGTCATCAACCATCCATGAGACTTATTGAAAATACTCGTGGAATAAATATTCAAAAACCAATTTGTGTAAAAGAATACAATGGCCACATGGGTGGTGTAGATCGTGTTGACCAACAACTCCAGAGCTTGCACCTGTTACGAAAAACTTACAAGTGGTATCGTAAACTAGCATTGAGGCTTATTTCTCAGGGTATTTTAAACAGCCATAAAGTTTTTGTAAAGTACACTTACCACAAGAGTACCACTTTCTTAGATTTTCTTCACAACATAATTAAAGTAATATTTTTATCATCACCAAAGTTAAACAAATCACTTGTTCCTGATGGTACTATACACAGGCATACTGGGCATCATTTTCCAGGAACCAAACAGCCATCACATGATGCAACAGATAGACGTCCATCTAAATTATGCAGAGTTTGCTATGCACGACGAATTATTAATAACAATGGCAAACCGCTAAAAACTGTGCATGTATGCAAAACTTGCCCCGGTGAGCCAGTGAGCTACATATTGATAGCTGCTTTGAAATCTATCACACAGTGCTAGATTTAGTGTAGAAATTAGTGTATACCCATGTTTCTTTATTTGACATGTCTTACTGTTGTTACTTTTTGATTTTTTTTATTTATTTTTGTTCTTTTTTGAAGAAAGCATCATAATTTAAATTTTTGACCTAAAGACTCACTAACCTAATAAATATAATAACTTATGATAAAATGATGTTCAAGACTTGAAACTTTTCAGAATTACTTATTATATATGTCTGATTGTTGACTCTAAATTTGAAAAATATCTGATGAAAATAAGATACATTTTTATTTGATTAAACTTACAATTAAAATACTATTTAGTTTTGAAAATCTGCTGTTATTGATCACAAGACCTGAATTTTTTTTTTTTTTTTTTAGTTTTAGTTTTATTTCATGAAAGATAAATTGCTACTTTAAAAAGGAGCCAATTTTTAAATAAATTGAACATTTTTTAAACCCATAATGAAGTTTCGATGGTAATTAGGTAAAAATATCATTTTTTGTCACAGTAATATAAGGTTGCCGAGCCCGGTAACGAAAGGGTTAAAAATCTAGTCCAGAATAATAAAATATATAATTCTTTATTATATATAAAGTTTTGATCTCTCTTTGTAAATAACTACTATTAATTGTGTGTTAAAATATTGTTTTTCTGAAAGTATTTACAGAAAGCTAAAGCAGTTTTTATTGAAAACATATTTTAATAATATATATTTAATGGCATAAGGTGTGAAAAACTAAAAAAAAATTTAATTTAGTTAATACTACTTGTAATTAAAGCAGATGACTCTTTTAGCAATCTTTTAGCTGCCTGAAGGAGGACTGTAGAAATAAGGAGGAGGACTGTAGAAATAAGAAAATGTTGGCAAGATATTAAAATCTCTTAAGTGATGTATCAATATGCTTCTAAAAAGTGGTGGTGATTATGCATAAACATAACATTTATAAAAATTACAATAAAAAAACATTACCTGCTCTTTTAATTTTTTAGTCTCATTGCAATCAAGTCTTTCGAGTAAGGAATCAACACTAATACTAGTTACTGGTTCTGAATTCATTTTTAATTGTAGTTTTGATAGAAATTGATCTTTAGGTTCATCAAGTCTCTTTGATAAAGCTTTAACTTGGTTAGATAGCTCCTTGTTATAAGACTTCATCTAAACAATTTTCACTTTAGTTAAAAATTTATATTAAAAATAAATGTTAAATTTTAAAATTTCTTTTACTTTATTTAAAATTTTCTTTGGTTTTCTTTGGAATTTTTTTTTTCTATTAACTTTAATTTTTTTTTAAAATATGCATTACTTAAAGATTTTTCACTAAATAAAAATATTCCAGAAACATTAAATTTCATGTTTTTGGTTTTTTTATAAAACTATAACACAGTTTTAATAGAACCTTTTTTTAATATTACTGAAATATCTAACTACACAAATCTCTTTCTTTAATCTATCTTAACATTTCACCATTCCTTAGAAAGTTTTTCACACACAAAATCCAGAAAAATCTAGAAATTCTTAATCGCCTTTCACCTACTGGTGTATTTTTAATGATACCACTACATAACAGAATGTTTGTACACATTTTGTCAATTTATCAGTTACAGTATTATTAATATAGACAAAAAAAAAAAAGATTTCAAAATGCCAGGTCTCAGGATGATAACAGGAATATTGTTTGCATGCTGTGTATGAAAAAACAAACAAGGCAATTACATTTCAAGCAAAAAGAGTTGTTCAAATAAACATTGAATCACATAAACATTGTTTATGTGAGTTCCTCAAGAGTCCCACAAGAGTTCCTCAAGGCATTTGCAAGGCATATTGACCAACGATTTGCAGAAAAGATGAGAGGAAAGATTTCACTTCTCTTTTTGATTTCAGTGCCATCAAAATTCATCTTGAGATACAGGATCAAACATGCTTGATTTATCAAATAAGACACTTCAAAATGAAAAAAACCCATTGGAGGCAGTTCATAAGACCATCAGAAAAAAGTTCAAAAGAAGAAGCACAATAGAGGTGCTGACTGCATGACCTTTTTGAGCAAGGGCTTGCCACATGATTGTGGCAAGCCCTTGCTCAAAACCTAAAGAGAAAATCTCAATCAACTTGCCCAACAAAATTAGCTGAACAAATAGCATCAGGTTTGATTGCAAAAAAGAATGCAACACCAGGAGGTGTTAATTGAATAAAACTTCAAAATCAAAAGGTGGGCGACCTCTGAAGGTTATACTATGTATATTTAAGTTACATAATTTAATAAACGGTGGGCAACCTCTGAAGGTTATACTATGTGCATTTCAGTTATATATTTTAATAAAAGGTGGGCGACTTTTGAAAGTTATACTATGTGCATTTCAGTTAAATATTTTAATAAAAGGTGGGTGACGTCTGAAGGTTATACTATGTACATTTAAGTTACATGTTTTAATAAAAGGTGGGCGACCTCTAAAGGCTGTGCATTTCAGTTATTTTAAAGCATAATCATTTTAACAACATTTTGCTGAAAAAATAAACTTGAAAGAATTTTGTTAATACTTTTGACAACATTCAGTTAAAAAAATCTGGAAGCTTTTCAGTGAATCAAAAATCTCAATTTTAGACCTGGTTCAAATCCAGCTCAACACAGATTTATCCAAATCTGGCATCATTAATCAAGCTGGCCTTAACTATCAAGCAAGTAGCAAAACTCCAAATTGTTAAAGCAAACTTTGTTACAACAATTCAATAAATGTTTTTCATCAATAGAGATTTTTTCAGAAAAACCTATACTGATGATTCCATTGACAAGAATGAAAGCAAAACTAATCACCTTGTTGTTAATTGCATCAGCTAAGTAAATCTGACTGAAGTATAATTAAATCTGAAAAGACCCTCCTTTAATAGTAGGTATTTTCTGATCACTTGGTCAAACTTGGATTTAATTGAGGTGGTGGCTTTTTTTAAATTTTTTTTTGGCATTTTAGCCAAATTACTGCAAAACCAGTTTAATTGAATTATTAACTCAAAACAATTTTATTGAATGTTTCCTGTTTTTTAAAATATAAAAATATTTGCTTTATTTTTTGACACAACCATGTCTATGACTAAATGAATAAAAAAGATTTTGTTTTATTTCCTGAACTTATTAATAGTTTTGCAAATAACAACTTTTTTATTTTTAAAAAGTAGGCAAGTAGTAGACTAAAAAATTTTATAAAATAATTAATTTTTTACTGCAATTAAAGAAAAATTTTTTACAAAATGATTGATATATTAAAAGAACTTTTTTATTCCAAAAAAAAAGTAATTAGTCAAAATTCTGAGTGGACTTCAGTCTCATGCCAGCATGCACAAGGCCATCCCAAAGAGATTTTCAAGGGTGGGTGATGTGTCTATTTTTTGCCGACTAAAGCCAAAAATTTTTTTTTTGCCCACTAACTTACCATTAAAAAAAAAAAAAGGTCCTCATTTTTCAACTGCCAACTATAAATCCAATTTTTCCAACTCTCTCTCTCTCTCTCTCTCTCTCTCTCTCTCTCTCTCTCTCTCTCTATATATATATATATATATATATATATATATATATATATATATATATATATATATATATATATATATATATATATATATATATATATATATATATATATATATATATATATATATATATATATATATATATATATATATATATATATATATATATATATATATATATATATATATATAGATTATTTTGAGCATAATTACTAGTAATAAACACTGCATCTGTCAAGTAATAAAATCAGACATATCAAAACCAAACAGCAATTAGGCTTTTAAATGTAAAGCAAAGTTAATTTAAAGTAAAGTTTTTAAAAGTAATCTTTCGATTGACAGCTGTTGCTGTATTTCCATTACCTGAACAAATGCAATTTATAAAATAAAACATCTCTATAAATTTTTATTAACATTTATAAAACATATCTAAATAAATTTATAAAAGTAAAATATCTAAATAAATTTAAAAAACTAACATATCTAAATAAATTTATAAAACTAACATATATAAATAAATTTATAAAAGTAACATATCTAAATAAATTTATTAAACTAACATATCTAAATAAATTTATTTATTTAGATATGTTAAAAACTAACTTATCTAAATATTCACATACTTGCAAGATTATTTTGCTTGGATGAAATTTTTTTTCAACATTTTATTTGTTTATATAGTATTAAAACAATCAATAAATTTTTCTTCTGTTAAAAATTTAATTTTAAACAGAAGAGTTAAAGTTTAAATTTTTTTAAAAGTTTTAAAAAAATTTAAACTTTATTTTTTTATTTTATTTATAAATAATGAGTATATTTTATGTATTTGGAATTCAAACTTTTTTATCAACAGAGTGACACGTTTAGCACGGATCCTTATAATGTCTACCTAGTTGTCCCAATAATGCCAATTATATGGAAAGTTAGCGCACACATCAAGGTACCCTGTGATGCAAATTTTGAAATCATTAAATTTTGTCCACGGAAAATAATTTAATTTGAATGTTCAAATTAAGTCATATTTTGACTTCATAGTGCACCAATAAAAACACTTGTAGAATTTGAACCACTCAATATAATTTGATAAAAATTGGTGCTAATGTAGCCAATAGTCACACCAAACTCTAGACAAAATTTCAGCCTGATTGGATGACTGGTGTAGGATTTATTGCAGTTTTAGTTATAGTTTCGTCAGTTTTTTGCTACTTATACCTCAAAGCGTTACCGATTACTTTGAAATTCGATCACCATTTTTAAAATAACGGTTACATGAGTGTTTTACTATGTAATACCAACAATTTTTGTTATAATTATTTTATCGATACAATTACAGTTTTTATTTTATAGACCAAAATAGTGATTTGCTACTTAAAGCATGATTTAAATAGTCTTATGCTAATAGTGTCGACATGCCTTCAAAGTAGAGAGGATCAACTCCTCAATTTCTAAAATAAAATAATTTCTAAAATAATTGCCTATATTTCTAAAACAAAAGGTCCTTGCAAAAAAAAAGTTGGCAGGCAATGGCTCCCTTGACGGCCATGTATGCATAGCGTGAATATACCAACATTTCCTAAGGTATAAACTACTGCCAGAATGAAAAAAAATTCTAATAAAAATAGTTAAGAAGGATTTCTAGGGATACCTACATAGAAAATTAAAATATTTATTTATCTGAAAACAGTACAACTGTGAAAAAACCAAATATTTTTTATATTGAAAAAGATAATTGACTTCAAAAATTTAAATAAGTTAACTAAGATATCTGACCAATACAAAGTTTGGAGGGCCAGTCGGAGGAAAATTACTCTAACTGAATAACTAATTAGGTTGAAGGGTTGTTGAAATAAAACAACCCGTGTGACAAGTATCATTAGTTTAATAAGAGTGACAATTATCAATAATGTAATTTCCTTACAAGTAAATAGTTTAAACAATTGTTTCCTGGTAAGAAAAGAACTATTCAAGAATTATTTCCTTGTAATTTAATATTACCTCAATTAAATCAAGTAAATATTTCCTTTATTTTAATAGTTTTTAATTTATGTGTTACTATGTTAAGTAGATTGTTATCAAATATAAATTTAGGTCAAATTTTGTAAAAGGCAGAGTTTGATTTAGTGAAGACAAATTTAATGAATTGCCACGATGACAAATCAAGCAAAGAATCATGCTCGGGTACCAAAAGGATTCTGCAAATCGTGTAGAATTACTTTGCGCAGGAAACAAGAGGGGAAAGAAGTTGCACTCCCTCTTTTGTTTGATTTTGAGTCAATACAAGTGAGACCTGAAACAAGAGGCACAATGTGTTGTTGCCTAATACGCCAAATTGCTCTTTCAAAGCTGCAAGAAAAATATCCTCTTATAGACAAACCACTATTGAGAAAAAACCAAAGGTGCGTTGCAGCAAATGGCTCAGCCCTTTAGGAAAAGGTTTGCTCCACCAATGCTCTCAAATAATGTTAAGGGAAAACACTCAATCTTTAGCAGCAAAAGATGCCAAATCATCCAAACAAATCGCATCTCGAGTTATTTCCAATGAAGAATTATCTCCGGAAGGAACTATTCTACTGGTTATAACATCCATCGGGCCTCTACTTACAGTTACCCCTGGTAAATATTTATACTTAAATAACTTTAACATATATATAGAAATAAAGTCTTGACTATTAAGAAATAACACTAGATAGATTTCAAGAAGTATATTTTTGACAAGTTTCTCATTTCTTTAAAAACGAATAATTTGAAAGTTTTACACAAACTTACTAAACAAAGTTTATTGTAACTATAAAATATGTTTATTTTTGTTTTAGATCAAAGTAGTGCGCAGACACCATCAAGTGCTCCAAAATTGACCACTGTAGCTTTATTTTAATAGTTTGTAAATGTGCAATTAAATACGGGCCTGTCAAACAACGGATTAAAGAAACTTGTTAGAACTATAAACAAAACATCAAGCAGCAAGATAGTAGAGCAAAATTTCTACATGAATTTTCAAAGACTAGGTCAACAATTGAGCAATTTCTTCACTTGCAGCGACTTAAAAATCACAAACAAAAAAAACAGATTTTTGTACAGTTCATGTTGCTGCTCACTGCAATGATTTATCAAGTCTTGTGAATCATGTTATTCAGTCCCGCAAAATTTCTGGTGGCTATTTTGTTAAGCTCGGAATTGATGGTGGCAAAGGCTTTCTCAAGTTTTGCCTAAGCATTCTTGATACTACATTAAGGGATGAAACCAGCTCACCGCACCAACAACAACCTTTTTGGGGTTATTGGGGTTTCAGAAGATTTGCCAGAAACACATTCAATATTGAACAAATCTGGTCACTGATTAATGCAAATGGAGTTAAACTAATTTTGGCTTGTGATATGAAAGTTGCAAATATAATTTGTGGTCTTCAAACTCATTCAAGTACGCACCCTTGCACCTGGTGTGACGTCAAATCCAATTGTCTTGCCAAATCTGGAAACTTGCGAACACTGGGCTCAATTAATTCAAGGCTTGAGTCTTTTCAGCAATCTGGCGGGGTTGTTGCTAATGCAAAGCTGTTTGGCAATGTCATTCAAAAGCCAATCATCTGCGGGCCTGTTAATGTTCTGATTTTGGAAATCATTCCACCGATGGAATTGCATCTCCTCTTAGGAGTTGTCAACCATCTTTTCAAAATGCTTAAAACTGCTTGGATAGAAGCTGTTAAGTGGCCAGCTGCCCTCCACATTCAACTGAGCCCGTATCACAAGGGGCAGTTTGAGGGAAATGAATGCAGGAAGCATTTTAAAAATGTGGATATGTTGCAGCAACTTTCTGAGACAAACATGGTTCCCAATATTGGGTGCATAATTGAAGCATTCAAAAGCTTCAATTTAGTTGTCAAGGCTTGCTTTGGATACATCCATCAGCCGGATTTCGCTGAAAAAAGTGTTACCTAATAATAACTGGTACAAGCGTAACACCCAAAATTCACGCCGCCTTCTACCACATCAAGGATTTCATCAGTCAAAAAGGATCCTCCTTGGGGCCCTATAGTTAACAAACTGTCAAAACTTCTCATCAAGATTTTTATCAACATTGGTCGAGGTGTAAGTGAAATAATAATCATCCTGAGTACAAAGAATGATTGTTGCGCAGCATAATTGATCTAAACAGTAAGCATCTTTAAAGAACATCATTTGAGTTATTAGAAATTAGGCTGCTGAAATTCATATTTTAAGGTGTATAATGAATATTTTCACCATCTTTAAAAGTAGTATTATAGAGTATTTGTATTAAAAGAGTACATTGAGCTATTTATTAATAATCTTTTGGTGGAGAAAATTAAAAAAAACCTTTCTTAAAATGTAATTAGATATTTGATGGTAATGGTAAAATAGGGTTTAAATAGCTTTCACTTTATTTTAAAAGTAAATGTATTTAAGGAGGTCAATACAAAATATTTTAGGAGATCTACTTTTTTTTTTTGTTTTACTAACTGGTAGTCCTTTGACCAGGTTTTGCACTTTTTTTTATCTTTTTTTTGCAGCAGTTTATACCTTAGGAAATGTTGGTATATTCAAGCAAAGCATACATGGCCATCAACGCCGGGGAGGCTAGGGGGTCATGTCCTTCTCTAATTTTTTTTTGCGAGGACCTTTTGTTTTAGAAATATAGGCAATTATTTTAGAAATTATGGATTTTATTTTAGAAATTGAGGGGTTGATCCCCTCCACTTTGAAGGTTGTGTCGACACTATTAGCATAAGACTATTTAAAACACGCTTTAAGTAGCAAATCACTATTTTGGTCTATAAAACAAAAACTGTACATGTACTGATAAAATAATTATAACAAAAATTGTTGGTATTACATAGTAGAACACTCATGTAACTGTTATTTTAAAAATGGTGACCAAATTTCAAAGTAATTGGTAACGCTTTGAGGTATAAGTAGCAAAAAACTGACTAAACTTCAACTAAAACTGCAATAAATCCTACACCAGTCATTCAATCAGGCTGAAATTTTGTCCAGGGTTTGGTGTGACTATTGGCTACATTTGCACCAATTTTTATCAAATTATATTGAGTGGTTCAAATTCTACAAGTTTTTATTGGTGCACTATGAAGTCAAAATTTGACTTAATTTGAACATTCAAATTAAATTATTTTCCGTGGACAAAATTTAATGATTTCAAAATTTGCATCACAGGGTACCTTGATGTGTGCACTAACTTTCCATATAAGTAGCATTCTTGGGATAGCTAGGTAGGCATTATAAGGATCCGTGCTAACCATGGTGAGGCTTTTAAAACGCTAATAGCTCATTAAAGTAAATTAAATCACTAAAGTACTGCTAAAAAATATATTTAAATTTATTTGAATTTATTTAAATATTACCAATCAATAAAGATTTTAGCTTAATATAAATAGCTTTGCCTTACACAAAGTCGGCATTTGCATATGTAAAACACACTACACTTAACACTTTATAATAAGGCTGAGATCACTAAATAATATGGATCTTTACCAGTGAATGGTGAAACAGGATTTGGCCTTCCAAATTTTTGGTTTGATTAACACATTTAGGCTGTTTTTACCTCTTGCTTTAGCATAATACTGGAGAAAGTATTTTGTAAAGTATTTGCAAATGCCTATGCTGCTTTTTATTACATTTCACTGGGTCATTATAGTGAACAGGAAATTGAATCAGTTCATAATTTCTTCAGTACTCATTAACAAAGATTCAAATAATGGATTAATCACCCAGAGTATGCTCAAAAGCTTCAGAACTACCTTAGTGAGTACAACTACAAACAATTGTAGAAAATTTAGATTATTCTTTATAATAATTAATTTTTTAGAATCTAATGAAAAAAATGTAGTCTGTGAGTAAGGTATGTCCTTATAAAAATATATAATTTTTGAGTGCTGTAAAAATGCTTGTTTATGTAATGTTGTCATTCACTCTTATGAGCAATAAAGAGAAAAACTAAAAAAAATTTTTAAGTAAGAATATTTGTGAATAAGAACTAATGTAATATATATAATGTAATATATATATATATATATATATATATATATATATATATATATATATATATATATATATATATATATATATATATATATATATATATATATATATATTACATTATCTTCTTTTTTGAAATATAAAAAAATATTTTAAAAACACAAACCTCTTCCAATTCGCTGATTAATGATGAATTTTGTACAGCAAGGTCTTCAAAAGAAGATTGATTTGAGCGTTCAAACATTAAAGAAGATTTTTGTACCTTATGAAGTTGTCCGCTGAGATTATTAAACTCATTTTGTAGTTCCTGCATTCGAGATTCGTAATTGAGATCACGATCTGTAAGTTCTTTTTTGAGATGATGTTTTTCTTGTTCAAGTTCCTGTTTAAAAATATCATAGTATAAACAACAATTTTGTATAAACAAAGATTTTAAAAATTTAAACTTTAATCTTGAAAATCTCTAATATATAAAAATTTGCATATCTAAAAAATAAATTTTAAAAATAAATGCAACTTTAAGAAATAGGAAAAACTGTTTTTCTTTCTTTCTAAAGCACATCCTTTAAAATACGATTTAAACATACAATATTTTCAATAGTGCCAATTATTTAAATTGCCTTAAAATATAAAAATTTATTTTATATGTTGTTAACAACTGTTAGAAGTTATTTGTTATTTAAAATATATATTTTTTAATGTAATTTTAAATGTATTTTTGGTAGTATTGGTGGTGAAGTAATTTTCAAGTTACAAAAAAAAAAAAAATTTGTAATTAAAAAATCCCACATATATATATATATGATATGCCACATATATATATATATATATATATATATATATATATATATATATATATATATATATATATATATATATATATATATATATATATATATATATATGATATATACATATCAAAACTTGGAATTATTTGATATATACATATCAAAACTTGGAATCATTTAGATATATACATATCAAAACTTGGAATTAGGAAAAATGAGGTCAACAAAATATATATATATATTTTGTTGACCTCATATACGGGGACCAGTTGCTTACGGGGACGTAAATCGATCCCCGTTAATTTCAGGCTTGTTTTATAACTTCAGCGCGATTAAAATGTCTTTCAATTATCATTGTATATAAAGTAGACCATACTATTATTGTTATTAAGTTAATATTCGTGGTTTAAATGTTGTTTTTTATGAGTAATTGGCTTTGCTATTTCGGGTATGTATATTTAATAAAAAGCGAAGTCCATTGGTTTGTGCACTTATGGGGACGAAATAGAAAATTATTTTTTGCATGTATCATGTATATATATATAATTTTTTTTAATTTGAAAACTCTTTTATCTTCTTAGAAAAATTAAATAAATATTAAAAAGAGTATTGAACTATAATCTAATGAGTTTTTTAAGAATATTTTTTTTCACTCTTGAAAGTTTTTTTTTTAAACACGATCTTGCGAACTTGATTAAAAACGCATTTAAAAATGTAAACAAATGAAACGATGTTTTTTTTACTTTGACATTGACTTTATCTTTATATTATTAGGATTGAATTATGTTGTTTTTGTATTTCAACTTTAAATATAACTACTTTACTGACAGTAAAGATATTATAACATGACTTAAATTTTTTTTATCTTAGTAAGATGTTAAAACCCTTAAGATATTATAGTATCTTAAACTTCAAGATTTTATAACATAACCAAGATTCATAAAAGATGTTTATGATACATATCACACATTTATAATATATATTACAAAAAAATTTATGACTTATTTATAACATATTATTTATTAAGATATTTATAATAAATTTTATCTTACTTTAGTTATAAATACTTTACTGTCAGTAAAGATAATCATTTATGTTATGTCATTTATATACATCAATTATATTATGTTAAAGATAATCTTTACTCGCCATAAAGTATTTATAATTAAAGTACGATATAAAATATTAAAAATATCTTTAACAAATAAAATATTTATAATATCTTTGTGACAGTAAAGTATGATTTCCTTTTCGTACCTTCTAACTGTAATGCTGTGCATAAGAGAGTTTTTAACTGAAAAATATTTTTCTAGAGTGTAAAAATAATAAAATCTACTTAAGTCTATTATTATTTGTATCAACTTAAGTTTTATTTTAGTTTATGTAAATACTAATCAACAAAAATGAATTTTATTTATAACTAATGATTTTTTATTATTCCATTTTGCAACATAAATGATGTTGAAGTAAAAGTTAGTGCAAGTTTTAGATAAATTGATGTTTAAATTATAAATAGAAATCTTCATTAAAAACTCTATGTTAAAACATATTTGATTTTATTTTGTACTTATCCTATATTTAAATTTAACTAATAAAGTTATTGAGCATAATCTTTAATTTAACTTCAAAAAACTTATAAAAATTATATTATTTATTATAAAAAAAATCAGTTTTTCAAGTTTGCTATTTATTAAAGATACAATAATGTTATGGTCAGAAGAATAGACAATGGAAGGGCGTGTTATATTGTTAATTAAACTTTCTATTGACTGCAACGATTATTTTACCAAATATTTAGGGTTTTTTAGTTTGCAAATGATGTTAAGGTCTGATCTCTGATAAAACAAATCTGCATAAAATCACTTTAGTTTTTTATTATATATCTATAAAGATTGATAAAAGTTGCAAGCCCTTTTAATATATTTGTTACAAGAAAATTGTAAACTTACAAGGGTATACAACAGTATTTACTTAAATGATAAATAACATAAACTATAGAAAGTATAAATAGAATTTAATAAAAAATTAAACTGTTTTATTTATTTTTGACTACTTTAATTAGCAATTAGTTTCCTAATTTTTATTTAAAATTGCGATGTTAACACTATTTTCAAACGCTCGTTTACTTTTTTTGATTTTATTTTATATGATTTAATATATGTTTATTTTATATATAATATATGTTTATGATATTATTCTTATGATTTTATGTTTAAGAGTTTTTAATTTTGTCATTTGTTTAGCATTTATTTTACTATACTTTCAAAACACTTTAAGTCTAAGTAAAATTTTAAATCTTGGTATTTTAATAAAGCCATATAGGTCATTTTTCAATCTGTATTGTGTTTTCTTATTTGAAAATATTATTTTGTTAATTTAGAATACAGTAGAAATAAAATTAGAATAAAATAAAAACTAAGAGACTGTTCACATCTAAATCATATTGTTCTTCTAACATTGCTTCACTGGATATATTTTATTTATAAAGTTAGCGAATTTTGAAATTACATTTTTAATGCTTATGCACTTTAAAAGAAACTTTTAATGAAACTTAAAGCAAGTAGCATGCAAGCTATTAATTGAGTTGTTAATAATATATTATAATTACTATTATTTCTCTTATTATCTCTGATTATCTTATTTATTATAGTCTTTTTAAATTTTGAAGCTTTAATTTTGATAATTTTCAGGGCTTTTTTTACTTAACAACTAATTTAAAATAAGTTGTAGGTATTCAGTGACAGATCCAGGATTTTTTGGTGATTGAGCTAACTTCCAGACATGGAGCCAACTCCAAACATACGTATGTTTATACTTATGTAAAATAATGAGTCTGTTCAAAAAATTGCAATGATTGGAGGCAGGTTATAAAATAGCCCTTTAAGTTTTTTACCCTTCCCCTCCCTCCTTACCCCAAACGTGAGGGGTAAAAAAAATTTGTACTTTTATCAATTAGATTTATATTCATTAATAAATTTCAAGTTTCATAGTATTATTTCTCAGCGTTCAAAAATTATGACCATATAAAATTGTTACCCCCTCATATTAAGGGGGGTTTAAACTTTATATGGTCATAATTTTTGATCGCTCAGAGATAATACTCTGAAACTTGAAGTTTATCAATGAATATAAATTTAATTGAGAAAAGTACAAAAAATTTTTTATCAAGTTGTTGCCCCTCATGTTTGTTTTATAAAGTCAAAGGGTTTTTTTGGTCCCTGCATCCATTCGTCGCAATTTTTTGCACAGCCTCATTATTTGACATAAGTATAAACTACTGTTTGGAGTTTGCTCTATGTATGAAAGTTAGCTACCTCAATCACCAAAAAAATCCTGGATTTGTCACTGGGTATATTGGAGTAACTATATCTGAACCAAGATTCTAAGATTTTCTTTTAGGTTATTTAATTCATTTTACATTTTAAATTTGTTTCAATACTGAAGATTTTATATATATTTTTGATTTACTATTACTTTTCATTTTTGTACCAAAAAAAATGTATTTTTAATTTTAAAATCGTTTAATAAATTCAACTTAATTAAAAAAAAAAACAGCTTTGTTTTTTAAACAAATGATATAATTTTTTTTTCATGTGGGAAGGGAGGAGAAGTTTTTAGCTCTCTTTAATTATACTAAAGTTTAAAAATCCTCAAACAAATTCACTGAATTGAATTAGTTTGGTGTTTATATATATATATATATATATATATATATATATATATATATATATATATATATATATACAGTAGTGCGCAAAAATTTGGCACGCAGCAGAATTAAACTTACTTGTTTCTGTATATGTTATTTTTTCAGTTAGTAAAGCTTTAAAAACTTATCTAAGATAAAAAAATAAGACAATTGCATCAAAGAAACAGGTTTCCACTTATTTCTTTTGGAATCTTTTGATATATTTTTAAAGATTCTGTAGGTTTGTTAAAGAATATGGTCAAATAAACCTGAGTGAATCAAAGAAACCTTTGTTTTTTAGGACAAAACCCCTTTTTCTATATACTAACTTAATAAAATTAAAAAATAAGACAATTGCGTCAAAAAAACAGGTTAACTTTTTTTTTCTTTCTATTTATCAATTAACTAGACATAACCAGATAAAATGACAGAAAATTTAAAAAAAAAAATTATTTTGGCATATATTTTTTCTTAAATACATATATTAGGCGGTATTTTAAGCTTTAAAAAAAGCTGCTCATAAGTTTAGCACTCTAGCTCTTCTTAAAGCTTTTAAAGGGAGCTTTTATAAATTTATTGTGGTAAAAGTAAAGTAAATTAAACTTTCATTTTTAATGAAATATTACAAAAATATATTTAAAGTAGTATGTAGTATTTTAAAAGTTTTTTTTTAATTAATTCATCTTTTTTGCTTAATTCTAGATTATAATAATAATAGAGGTCTAAAAATTTCCCATGGGAAGAAAAACAATAAGTCAGGAAATCAACCAGCACACTATTGGCCTTAATATGGGAGGTCACTCTAGCATTGAAATATCTCTAATTTTAAAGTGTGTTTCACCATCATGTGTAAGTAGAATTATTGCTAAGTTTAATAAAACTGGTAGTACTGCTGACAAAAAGTGT